CACCACAAATATATGTATGCACCTAAAAAAATGCTATCGAAACATGAAAAAATTAATAAAAATTTATGTTTCCCGTTTTTTGAACTTCGAAAGCGTACGAACGTACGGTTCGCGACCGTTAGAAATGCCCATATGCCCATCTACAGCGTATGCGACTCACGTTTAGCACGTGAAAACGCCGAGAAACTCAATAAAGTATTTAGCGAAAAGTTAATTTTAATTTTTGTAACGCACACACTCACAGCTTAGCTATTTTGCCAGCTAGTCAAGCACGTTTCCTCGCGTCTCACGCTTCCCATCCCTTCCCTTCTCTACCTATGTACATATATTTCTCCAGCACTCTGACTGTTCGTCTATTTATTGTTTAATTGCAGAGAAGCCGGTACTCGAGCGCTTCCTCTATTCGATGTTTGGCGACGTGGAGAACGCCAAGCGACTGTTCGAACTCAACTATGCGCTGCGCAATAAGTATCCGCACATATTCCTGCAGCGCGATCCCACCGATCAAGAGTCACAGCAGCTGTTGCAAGTAGCGTGAGTAGCGTAATAACGGTGAACGGTAGAGGTGCAAAACTATCGATAGTCAGACTATCGATAGCATTCGATATTATTTTCAAAACTATCGATATATCGTCGATTAGTAGCGTATTTATATTCTTTTCGCTCAATTTTAGTATAAAGATTTGCTTAAAAATATATTCGGCAAGGCGTTGGGATACCCTTGTAAACTACTGGACACGTTTTTTTAATTGTTTATTTGTTAAGTTAGAAGTAAAGTTATTGAAAATTTGGAATTAATTGAAATTGAAAAGCTGGACGTGCTGAAATTTTACATTTGTGGTTTTAGATATCCTAAGTCATATATAAGGCATTCAGGATGTAGATTGAAAATTTCGAACACGAAGTCATTTCTTTTTATCTGAAAAGTAATGGTTTTTATTTACCTTCTATTAAATAGTAAATAGTGGTGAGTAGATAATATTAAAGTTTTGCTGTAAGTTAAGTTGTATCAGTTTTTTACTGGAGTAAGCGGTATTTAAAAAAATGCAAGGTTTTCCGTACTTTTCGAAATTTTTCATTACTCTTTTAAAAAAGTAGACACCAAATTTTTAGTTCAACTTGGATGTTTATAAGAAATGAAAAGAAAAGAATAAATAAAACTAAAATAAATATCGATATCGATAGACCAAAAAACAATCGATGGTAGCGAAAAATAAAAAACATCGATACTATCGATAATGCCATCGATAGTTTTGCACCTTCAGTGGTCGGTCGACGATGTTAAGGTGGCCAAACCAGTTATTGCGAAAAATCTCTGTGCAACTGATTTTTTTTTTAATACACGTGGATATGAGTTTTGACATTTTATGCATAACGGCTTAAATATTACGACTTTTATTTTTATCTTTCTTATAAAAACTACTTTTTCAGCGATCTAGTGCCGTTGCCTGGGTTGACACCGGACAAAAACAAGCTGCTCTTCTACCGCCTAACCGACTATGAGGCCGATAAGGTGTGATACTTGTTGTTTTTATCGTTGCTATTACTATTAAATATATGTATAGCAAATATTCCAAAAAATCGTATTAAATATTTGAATTTTAGTTCAATTTTACGGCCAGTATCAAAGTGTTCTTTATGATGGCGGATCTGCGCTTTGTCGTACCCGATGAGGCGGGCATGTGCGACGGTGAGGTACCCATTTTCGACATGGCTGGCTACAGCTTACGGCATGTGGCGCGCACGGTCTTCAGTTCGCTTCGCGTTTATATGAAGTTCGTGCAAGAGGCACATCCGGTGCGCTTGAAGGCCATACACGTGCTCAACTGCCCCTCCTATCTGGACAAGGTGCTGTCTGTGGTGAAGCCGTTCATTAAAAGTGAGGTTTTTAAATTGGTAAGTGGCCGGGGAGAGGTAGTAGAGAGCTTGCTAAATAATGTTTGAATTAAAAAATGCCTTTTCACCGCAAAGATCAATTTCCATCTACCCAATGCCGATACACCGTACAATTACTTCCCGCGTGAAATGCTACCGGAGGAATATGGCGGAGCAGCGGGAAAAATGGCTGACTTGAAAGAAAAATGGGTTAAAATGCTGATAGAGAAGAGGTAATTGTCAAGGGAAAATGTATTGCCGCATCATGTATTTCGAAGCTCAGTCACATATGTATTCGAGTGCAGTGAAAACTGCGTGCAATTGGCTACCGAAAGCCACATTACGAAGCTTCGGTTTGCCGCTGGCTCCTCACAATCTTTGATACAAAGACCACTTGAGTTCGAAATGTATGATTGGGCACTAAATTTCAGTTGCTAAAATGAAGAAACACTTTTCAGAGATTACTTGATGAACCCCGATGCGTGGAAGATCGACAAAAGCAAGAAACTAAAAGCTGCAACACAGACAGAAACAAACCGAGAGCCGGATAAAATTTGCCAGAGTTTGAAAACACTGGAAATCGATTAAAGAAATAGTTATCAATGTAAATACGTCTATCGATGTGTAAACATATGCGCATGTAAAGAATAAAAAAAACCCTAATTTAGAAAAGAGCAATTATAGTAACAGTTAGCAAAAGATAAAAAAATGCTGCTAAAATTCCGCAGTAAGAAGCATTGAATTGCATTTTCAACTCTTTAACTCTTCATTTACCAACTTGTATGCAATGTGCCATTTGCTCAAAGGCGGCACTTCCTCGAAGCTTGCACACAATTTGAGTTGAGTTGTTGCGCTGCCTTTAAAAAGTGAACACGCACACATGCATACATACATACGAACACACACATAGTCTCAGCAGCAACATGCCGTAATTCATTCAACTCATTCATGCAGAGGACACACTCAGTCGGCGCTGTGTTGTGCACTTCCTTTTTCTGTTTGAAGTGCCTGTCGCAGGGGAGGAGCGGACAGTAGTAAAGCGTTGGCACCACCATCGGTCGTAGGCCTTGCTATGGAGTTAAAAAATGAAAAAAAAAAAAAAAAAAAAGTGATAAGAATGGACGGAAAATCGTGCAGTTGCGTTGAGGTGAGCAAGCCTACTAAGGAGAAGTATTCCTTTGGAAATGCTATGCACTTGAAGCGCATTAATCACGCCCGTTTATCAGGAAGAAAAGTCACAATGCGGCGAAATGAAATTTCGGAAAAAATTAGAATACTGTGAGGTGTAAATATATAAACAAAGCCAAAGGAGCTAAATGCCTCAATAGGGGTGGTGGAAGGCGAAACGCTGCAGACGCGCCGTGCGCTAATTCGATGAGTCACCTGCTGCGCTCTTAAATGACTTTGTCAATTGATTCTGATTCGTAATTAAAGTTTTTACAGCAGACTAAATGAAATGCAAATTTTCTACGGCACAGCAAGTGCCTTAAAGTAATTTGCAACATTCTGCCAAACAAAGTGTTGCGGCAGTGGTGGTAATTTGTGGTGCAGCATGAGAACGAACTGCCTCCGTCGATATGAAAATTATTTACAATGGTATAATAAATTGCGTTAAAGCTTTCGAAAATTTTCATCCACATGTTTGTAAATAACCAATGGATATCGATTAAATTTTCGATAAAGATGACTGAAAAATCGATAAAAATATATGTAGTTAAAAATTTCGATAACAAGTACTTCAGCCATCCACGGCTTTTAATATATAATATATCGATAACATAGTTATATACCTGTATATATCAGTAAATGCATCGATAACTTAATCGAATAAATTGGCGATAACGCGATCTATAAATATATTGTTGCATTAATAAATGTATCGAACGTCGATAAATAAATGCATACATACTTATGTACATACATACACCTATCAGCTGATTTACTATTAGAAGTTAAGTAACTCCACGTATATAAGTACAAACAAACATACACATACAAGAACTCATTGACTCGCAACTAACATCCCATAACGTTTATTTCTTTTCGATGAATTTGTACTAAACCTCGTCTCACCAGCGTTGTCGCAAAATGAAAAACCAGCATTGCAGCACACTTAACCCATATCGAGCCAGCAGGGGAGCGTGAGAAGGTGACTGCAATGCAGTTTCCTCAACTAGAGATGCTGTCAGAGCACAGCACGCCAACGGCCACGCACGGCAGGATATCAGGCAGGATGTTGATTGCAATTGTCTGTTCAGCGCTAAAGTCGGGGCAAAAGAGAGGCAAAAATCTACTTCAAAGTAAGTAAAGGCGTGGGTGGCATACGTATGTGGCATACATGTAGAAGCATTCGCACGATTGGTTTTTGTCGACTCAGTCAATGACACTGTGTCGGCTGAACGGGTGGATCAATGGTGCCAGCAGTCACATCGCTGTTGGGTGAGTGTATTAAGTAAATGGTCGCAAGCAGGAAAAATCAGTACGATTTCGATTAAAAAAGGTCGATAAGTCAGTGTGTTAAGAGTGTTTAAAAATAAAACTAGAACTGTGACAAATAAAAAATGCTACATTTACAAAAGTTTGAGCCTTTGAAGCGCCCTCTGCCACCCACCAACCATCGTCGTTCGCGGAAATTGCATTGTCTGACCGCAGCGCCTGAGTGCATTCAGTGCACGCTGACACTTGCCAATGAGCGTTTTGTATGGCGGCACTGCTGCTTCCGGTGTTTTGTTTTGGGCCTGCAGCGCCAACACGCAACACCCAACATGTTGCAGTCAGTCACTGCTGGCGTACATACCAAATAAAGTAGCCGCACCAACGAGCAGCGCTGTGTATTTCTAATCCTGCGGTTGCATTGTGTAGATGTCTGAAATGTCGACCGGTTGAATAAAGCGATCAGCGGACAGTGAGTGGTCTTCCAAGAATACCGTCATTTTTTAATGATTTAAGTGACAAAGGAAAGCGGAGAAGTTTTATGGGAAACATAAAAATTTAATTCAAAAGTAAAACAAAATTGCGGTGTAAGATTTTAAAGTGCAAAGCGTTAAATGAAATATGAAAAGAAAATGCTGATGAAAATCTTCGCTTGAAAGTGTGCAGTATGCTGATCAATAGAAAATAAACTTAAATGGATGTGTGTTTAAAGTATCTATATAAAATGTATGTACATATAAACATACAGCTTAAGTTTAAAATTTATAAAAAGAAAATATCAAAATGAAAAATGGATTTGGTTTAAATTACATTCGCAGCGTACTCTGCATTCAACACGAAAATAAGTAATAAAAAAACGCCGCAGCAGTTGAAAAACTCGATTTACTAAAATTTAATCTAATGATTTTAATAAGGCTTTTAAACTGTATCTTAAAACCTTTTTTTAATCAAAGTGTCCAAAGAAATCTTATATAATGAGCGAAATTGAATTTCAGCTATTGCGTCAAGTTTTGCTTTCATCAATTTGTAAAGGATTCTTGAAATTTTTGTAGTTTTTCCCTCACTTCACGGCCTCATGGTGTTTTTCATTTCTACTACGCCATCTCCAGGTATATGTACATTTATTTACACAACTACATAAAGCATCAACGACTCCTAGTAGGAATTTCTCTGTGGTGCATTGCTGCAGGATTTCCAATGCGCAGTGAACAAAAAAAAAAAACAAAAATAAAATAAACAGCGAGACATCGCAAAAAAAGGCAAACAAAATGCCTACACATCAAGCTTTCTCAGTATGTAAGCTATGTACCTACATATGTACATACATATTTCAGTCGTGACTTGAGCGGCCAACACTCTTGGGCACAGTGGGCGCGGGAGGCGGGGAGGAAGCACGCAAGCTTTGTAGTAATGAGTTGCCGGTTGGCATGCTAACCTAAAATATAAGTAAAGAATAACAAAGAAAACAACTATGCGCGGTGGTGTGTGCGCGCGAATGAAGAAAAAAGGCAAAACTTTTAGGGTTAACAGCTGAAAAAGGTACAAAAATAATAAACTAGAAAAAGAGCAAAGGCAAAATGTCGCTTCTTCTAGGCAAACATAATGCTTCGGCATTATGTGTATACAAATACAAAAATACAGTGACTCAAACAAATGACCACGTGTTGATTTTCTTCAAATATTCGTAATGTTCTTCGAGCTAAATTTTTTGTGTTATTTTTATATAAAAATATCGTCTAAGCTTTGACCAAAACCGTGTAAAAATTCAAAACAAATTTTCATCAAAATTTCAACTTTTTATTCTGAATTTTTAGAAAATTTTTGGCTATGCAGTTTTATAGCCCACACAATTTTAGTATAATGAAAATTTCCAAATATCAACGCAAGTTTTCGTTATATTAAAAAACCCGAAAAAGTAACCTAAAAAAAAAAATCTCAAAAATCAACGCGAATTTTTAGCCGTTTGAAACTTGAACTTCATTAGACTAAAATTGTATGGGCTATAAAACTGCATACCCAAAAACTTTCTAAAAACTCAGAATAAAAAGTTGAAATTTTGTATAAAGTTGAAAGTGTGATTTACACGGTTTTGGTTAAAGCTTAGACGATATATTTATATAAAAATAACACAAAAAATTTAGCTGGAAAAATATTACGAATATTAAAAAAAAAAAAACATTACGTGGTCATTTGTTTGAGTCACTGTACATATGTGTATATATAAGCATTTTACTTAACCAATACGTATACAGAGCCAAATGCGCCGTCATACCTCCCCCACGTAAGCATAATTATATTTATGTACGTCGTACATATTTATTGTACATAGCGTGCAGATTGTAAACGCAAAGCAGCAAAAATTATAGCGTAATGAAAATGTTTATTAATATTTCGACATAACAGTACCAGAGCAGAACCACTCGTGTGTACATCAAAATTACACGTATTAATGTATGCATTTGTGGGTGTGGGTGTGGGTGTGGGTGTGTGTATGCCTGCGCGTTAAGCCCCTCATTGATGTTGTAGTTTTTACTAAGTATTACAATAGAGCTTTACAAGTAAGCTGTATCAGAAAACAATTGCGCCACCGCCTTTCTTTATGCTATAAATACTACTATTTTGCTTGTACGATTTTTTTTTGGCAGTCTTGGGTGCCCAACGACTCCGAAGCGGATGAATGATTTGATGTGCCGGCACGGCGAATGAGGGTGGTTGCCTGTCGGCGTTCTGCGTCGACGTCGGACGTCCGCCAACTTCAAGCCATCTTCGTCTATTGCTTTGTATGTACACGCACGCACCCCCGCGTTTCGCTAGAAAGCCGGCTTATGTATATATGGATATATGTACATATGTATGTGTATAAATTTATCTATCTTTTGTTTTGTGTAGCATAGCAGCAGGCGCATAGACAATGACACTTCACTACAGCAGGCAACCGTTTAATCGAACAAGACAACAACGCAACAACTCGAGCCATCGCAAACATGTTGGTTCAAAGAATTGGTTGGTTTTTATGCAGCACAAATCAAATGCTACACAAGAAACTACAGTCGACACGCGCTGTGCGCCCCACTGAGTTGTTGCCTTTGTAAGAAGTACTGTTCTAACGGTATACAGTAGGGGTGTATACATACATACGTACACAATTTTTTGCTTATTTTTTGCATGTGTTGGCGCGTAAGTCTGTGTGTGTATGTAATCATACCATGCAGGAATTTCTTAACAATTAAGATGCATTTCAACTCTCAGCTCTTTCTCTGATGGCACAGTCTCAAGAAGAAAAAATTAAAAAATCTAATTTCACAATACACATACATACATAATGTATAAATCACTAATTAAATACTTAAGTTAAGTTTTCAAAAAATATTCACAAAGTTTTTCATAAATTCTTGTATGAGGTTAAAGACCTATGCGTGTATCTCAAAATCGAGTAAGTTTTGTATGAAATTTCGCATTTAATATTCGTTTACTTAGACCAAACAACTGAGCTAACAAAAAACTTCTCTTTAAATGAGCTTTTCGCATTGAAGAAATGTCTCTTACGCGATATAGATTTTCCTTTGGGGTACATAATAACAAAGAACTGCATGCACACATGTATATACATAAGTATGATTAAATGGGGTTTTGGGGCTATTAACTAATACATTGGAGAGTACTACACTGAGGGAAATAATGCATAGTAAAAATGAATACTTTATATTTGATTGTCGTTTAAAAATGTTCGTATTTAAAAATAATATTTTCATACAAAATTTATTACGCACGTATTTGACTGTTCACATCTGAGTATGGATATGTAAGTGTACATACGCACCCCAAGCATGCAGAGCGCCGCACTGAGAGCGGTGACGAAACACACATACACACATAGCAAGAATGGTAGAATGAGAGTAGAATTCTCAAGAATTTCTGTCAATCGTGCATACATAGTACATACATATTTATCCGGACAAATCGCGTTCTTTGGTGTTGATGGATATTCAACATTTGAAAGCAAATTTATATGACTGAGTGTAGCTGAGTGCGCAAAGATGCTTGCCACAAGTTGTTGGTATCCGGAGATGGTCGGGTTCGAATTCCGCTGCAGGCAATATGCAAATAAATTTTTTTTTTAGTTTTTTCTTGATTATTCACTTCTCGGATGCTTTTTCAGTACGAACGCGGTCATTTTAATATGCGCGTAATTGAATTGAATATTTACCGATATACAGTACTTTCGTTGACGTTTATAGTAAGATCAATTACGTTTCTATTTGATTTTAATATTTTTTTCCCTCAGTGTAAGAACAACATTAGATAAAAATAGAAAGAAAAATTGCAGGCGTTGATGAAATAGAGCAAAACAAATACATTTATCTAATTGCATACAACGCAGTTTTACAAACATAAGTTCACTCTAGTTCGATGTGTGTTGAAGTTCTATCGCTTAGAGTAGGTACTTTTTCACATTTGAGTATGCGCTAAATATCACGCAACCAGCATCCACCCCAAACACGCAATTCTACTGATCGGTGCCTATTGAGAATGTTTCAAATTAAGTGAAAATAAAGGAAGTGTTAACAAGTAATTTGATATGTTTAACACTTATGCAGGTATTTTTGGTTTTAGTAAAAACGTCTTAGCTTGGAAAGGCAGAGAAAATCGAGTCATTTATTTTTTATTGAATTTTTCGTAGCCGTTTGAAATAAAACTCCAAAAACTGGCTTGCTCATCGCAGGCATTTTCCATAGACCGTCCCCCCCTAAAATTTTACAACTTCAACCCTTTCTTAAACCTTGTTAACCTCTGGAAAAATGAATTGCTCATTTCAACTAAAATATTAGCTTAATTTTATTTATGATGTCATTGCAATGGCATTTTTAAAAGCAAATGTCGGATTACACAGCTGGAACAGACTAGGCGAATAATTATATGTATGTAAGTCATGGTTAGCGAAATTTGACATACATACATATAGTCACGTGAAAAATAATAGGTATACGATATTTTGACAGTTTTGCCTTTTTTGCGTTTGTTTGTTGTGATGTTTATTACATTTTTTTTTATAAAAATACAGCTGATTATCTAACAAAACTATATATGGGTATATAATGGTTATGTAAGCGGGAAAATTTTTGCGAAAAATGGTCCTGCTGGCTGGCGCTAGGGTCAAGATATCTTTAAAAACCGTTTATGATCCGATTTGGTTAGAATTTGGAGTTGAAAGTTTCAACTTGAAACATAATAAATCATAGGTTTCCAAAAAATTTTCGACCTAAAATTTACAATTTAAATGCATTTAAAATTCATTTAAAAGAAATTTTAACAAAAAAATACCAATGGAAATTTATGTCACGTAAAGGAAAATTGAAATAAGTTGCATTGATTCCAAAAACTCCAAAAACAACTAGAATTCCCCCAAATAATATTGAAAAAATGTTTCATGAAAAGAGCCATCATTCCCAATCAAACAATTTCCACTTTTGTCACATAACGACACTCTCTTTAATTGCGTATATTTTATTAAATTCCAGCTTAAGAAAATACGCAGCTAACAATTCGCGTAGATTTTTGAAATTTTTTTTTTTGTGCGGAAGAAAATAATAACTTCATCCGCAAAAAAATTTTCCTTGCCTAATAAAAAGTTTGATGTAGAATTTTTCTAATTTTTATATAAAGTTTGAAATTAGGACTTACATATATGTATGGTTTTTGTTAGATAATGAGCTGATTTTTTATAAAAAAAAATAATAAACATTAAACAAGCAAAAGGAAAATAGCCATAACTATTATTTTTCACATGACTGTATATATACATACATATATTTATTCGTTTCATGCAACAAAGTGCGTGTCATGACGATTCGCGTTTTTTGTGGCTAAAATGTGGCTATATATGTACATATGTATGTATATATTTGCATATTTATAATACACCAGGGACTCAGCGCATACGAATAACTAAATTGAAATAAAGTTTCTATTCTATTTTTATTAGTCCCATTTTTACATTTCATCCGACGAAAATTGTATTTGTTAAAAGTTAAATAAAGATTTCTGGGGAGTTTAGATTTTCAATGTAGTCAAAATTGGAAATTTTAGTGGAGAATTTCATTTAAAAATTTAAAAAAGTAAAATGCATTTATGTCTTCTTTAGTAAGTTTGATTTGGTTTGGTTTTAAGAAAGCAGATAGAACTTTATAGCTGATTAAGAATAATAAGGCGCTTTAATTTCCAAATTGCAGGTTGTTTTAAGTGGACTGATTTTTTTTTCAGCAATATATTACACTACCACTTTTCTGCTCTTTTGCACGCTTTTTATCGTTAGCTTTCTTCACCTTTTCTGCTTAATCAGCGAAGCCATTTTGCGGTTGCCGGCGCATGGCACGAAAAAGGCAGCACTGCCTGCGGCATTTTCTGCAGTGCGGCACCAGTAGCGCTGCGGTTGCGAAGTACAACCAAGCTCTTAAAAAATATATATATATGTATATGGCAGGAAGTTAAAGCAGCAGCGAGGAGTGTAGTAAAGTAAAGCAATTTCCTATTGTTTTTCGCATTTTTCGAAGAAACTAATTGAGCGCTTCAAAACGCAGTCGGGCACTTTCCATACAGGGCATACATTGTTAAAAGTTACTCGTTAAATACTTAGATCAACTCGTTGAATAGTTTAAGCATATCTTTAGACATTTTTTTTTTGCTTTTGCTTGCAAGGCTCAGTGCATTATTTTAATTTATTGCCCGCACACTGGCACGCTTTGCCAGTAACTAACCTCACATAAGTTTTGCACCAGACATGCCACCACCACCACCACCATCTACCAGCCACTACAAACAAGCAGTACAACCATTAACCAGCAATAAATCACTTGCTGACCCATTTCCACCATTTTGTTGTGGTCATTGATCTATCGGCGAACACACATACATATTTACACACTACCATACACCTCACATTTTGCAGCAACAGCGCCAGCCAGTAGACGTAACAGTAATCGATTTTAATTCGCTGGCCTAGCAGCCAGCAGAGCAACGTCTCGCATGTCCGGCTGACATAACAATTAAAAACCAATTAATATTAGCAAATTTACTTTTATAATAAAGTATACTAATATTAACACGTTAAACTAGGAAACAAGTTAATAGTGCGATAAGAGCCAATAAGCGAGGTGTACTATTTACATATGTACATATGTATGTGTATCATAAAAGTGATGTATGTAAATAAATTAAATGAACTGACGGCCGGACTGAAGTGCCACCAAAATGTGTGAATAATTGTATAAGTTTAAGCAAAATGGCGCTTGAACTTCAACTAAGTTTTGATGGACATGCGAATATTACGGTAAATAGCTGCATGGACAAATGAAGGAGAGGTTTTACTTTTGATTTTGAGGAAAATTTCTTAAAACTTAAACAAACCGATTGTTTTAAATATACTTATGTACACTCCTTGAAATCACTATTACTCATACGCAGCGTAGTACCCGTTAAGCGCTTCGATGTTGCTAGCGCAAAATGCAATCAAAATAACCTTCGGCAAGTCATAGTTTGGCCTCCAAAAATTTCATTATTACACGCACATGTCCACACCTACTACACTGCCACAACTCTTTCGCAAATTCTTATTGAATATCTATGAACTCAGCTCATGCAACCAAATTCGATTTCTGCACTACTAATTTTAGTTGCCTCGCTTCCTTTGTGGCCTTCGAATCGCAAACATCGTTTACACTATTATTTAACTTTTCACGGCTGCTAATCTTAAGCATAGCTGGTGGCCGTTTAGGCCGTTCAAATAGACCGTTACGTGTTGACTCTGCTACGGTAATCGACACCGTTTGTACGGCAAGTGGCAAATGGCTGTGTATGCTTGTATGTGTGTAGGTTTATTTGTGTGCAAGCCTTCATAGACGCTTGACTAAAGTTTACTATGAGGTAAACATTTTGATTTAGAAATGCTTGCCGATTTACTGCGCAAATATGTATAAACACAAACACAAACACATAAATACACATTTTGCACTGAACGCTGAAATCTAATTGTGGCAGTTTATGTGGAGGCAATGGCGATGGCGGTAGATTTGGATTTAACTTTAATTTATGCAAGCTTGATACGCTTGATTAAAGAAAAACGTTTAATTTTTAACCGACTTCCAAAAAAGGAAGAGGTTATCAGTTCGTCGGAATACTTTTTTTTTTTTTTATGTATGTTACCGCATAACTTTGGATCACGTCAACCGATTTCTTTTTGCATCGGAAAGGTAGTGTCTCAGAGTTGGTCCCATACTAATCTGGTTAAGATCCGATCAGTGGATCATGAGATATATATGTATATATATATATTTTTTTTTTATATGAGAGTTGAAGTCGGTTTTTTTTTTTGCTAAAAATTACTTGTTATTTTACTTTTTTTGACATGAACAGGATTTGTTTCCGAAAATACAGTAAAAACATTTGCGATAATTATAATTTTATAAGGCATGGAAATTTGAGTGGAATTAGGTGGACATTTTTAAATTCTTGGACATCAAAGCAAATAAAAGATAAAATAAAATATACAATTACTTATGTAGCTAAAACCGATTTTCTTTGTTTAATATTTTGATAATAAATAGTAGGTACCCAAAATCAACTATTCGGTTTTTTTTTCAAAATCTCTTGTAAAACATTTTCGGGACAGTGAATAATATAAAGATTTGAAGGTCCGTCATCGCGAGTTTTTATATTTTGTATAAATAAATGAGAGAGGAATCTTTTTGTTTTAATTTTGAAATTTTTTAACTCGGTTTTTTGACGTGATTTTTCCATAAATTCACTCCTCCGAAAGTCATTGTAGGTAAAAGTAACAATTAAATTTAACAATTTGATTGAGAACGAAGAAACACGAAAGAATCCGAATCTGTAGTGATTATCATGTACATATACATATGTATTTTATAAAAATGAACTTTCGGCCAGTTTAACTCACTTCCGGTTGCTACAGGAAGTTGATAATACCACCAAAAGATGGAACATCCCCGATTTGCTATGCCATATTTTTGCCCACATTTCACAGGGGGGGTGGACGGGTGCTCTAGGACACCCTTTATATCGCTCGTCCGATACGTTGACTGAAAAAAACCAGTCTAATACACATCCATGCACAAGAGAGTGTCCGGGTGCTTTCATTGCCTAAAAAGTTTGGCATTGAGACCACACATTGATAAAACAAAGCACCACAAATGGAAAATAAATAAGTAAACAAAAAGCAATTATCGTACTAAGGCGACGGTGATAAATCGCGTTGTCGGTTACTTCCGTTCTGCACAAAGTTTGTGGTTTTTTTCCATTGAAGGTATGTTGAGTTGAACAATTTTAGTCAAACTCCAAGTCCATGGGTAAAACTATCAGACCTTACTTGCTTGGCTAAAATATCACTGCATTCCAGCATATTTTGCGGTTGTTCCTACTTTTTTGGCAGTCCACTACTTAGCGAAACTATTTCTGTATCTATGCAGTGACCACATACACAATGCTTTATGTGAGTATTTACATATGTATGAATGGGTAAATGATGTTGGCACCATTTAACTTTAAATAAATGCCCCAAAAGGCGGGCCAGCCGGTCCTGTTGCTTGAATTTTATGGCTTAATGAGCCATAAAGGCGCGTTCTGTATGCAATAGTGCACTTCGGAAGGCTCTGTGTGTGTGTACTCCGTGTGTGTGTGTGTGTGTGTTTGTTGCAACAGCGATAGTTGTTGAGAATTGCTATGTCACAAAAAGTGTTTTTTAAAATTAAACAGGCACAGACAGGCACAGACAGGCCAAGCTAAGACAAAAACACAAACAAAACGAGCGACATTCTGCTGCTTTTATTATTTAGTGAACTAACAAACAATGCAACGTGCGGCCTAATATACATACATATATATATATAAACACGTATGTTCATTTATGTTTATGACATTATTTATTTTGGTGCCTCTGTATGCACATCCGTCGGTTGCATGCCACCACGGGCGGCCGACTTGCTTGGCTTGTTGCATTGTTGGTTACACTTTGGTAATAACCTCGAGTTTATTGCCCTCAAGGGCATTTGGATATTTGCAGTGCAGTTCAGCGCGCCTGAAGCAACAATGGGCCCACAAAGGCGCGACTGCTGGCAGGACAAGAAAAAACACGCGCATATAAATGTGAACGTAGCGAAGGCAATGACATGGTTGCATGCTCAAACAAAACTTAACGAATATTTAAGAACTAATAATTAAAGGAATGGGAACTTCAAGAGGAGTGGTGTACCTTTAAAGCTAGTTGTGTGCTAGTATAAATTATATAAAAGTATTTATTTACTCGTACAAGAAAGTAAACCAGGTTTGAGAACAAGTGGAAAATTCAATACAAAAATTAAAATTGAGTTAAAAAATAAAAGAAAAAAAAAACATACAGATGCACTTACCGACGAAATTTGAATGTAAAAAACTCTTTAAAAGCGAGCAAACTGTAAATCTCTAAATGTTACTCATACGCCATGTTGTGCATACCAGCACCAATCATCAGCGCAACCCCGAAGCGAAGCATCTACATATCTATGTAAAGTGTGCAATTTAAAATTTATGGTGACAATGTGCTAATTTACGCGACGACTGCAAAAAAAAGAGCTCATAAAAGCAACGAAATAAAAGTCGCTGACTCCAACTCCAGCCGGCCGAGATGGAGACGCGCAAACAGAAACGGCTCGGCGCCGCTCCAATTGCATCGTTCGAGAAGTCATTCGAGGATTCCGCCTCAACGGCCACCACTGCCAACAGCAGCACCACCAGCTCCATCACCAGCAGCAGCTCAGCTACAGCGGCAACTGTTTTTCCGGCAGCGCCGCTCTCGAGTTCAACGACGCCGAGTGCTATACAGGCACATGAAGCGCTTGCCAAGGACATTAACAGCAATGGCGATATGATGGTAAGTCAAATGTTTAAGTGTAGCGATTTGTAAGAGCTTTGCAATTTATGCACTGCAAAATTTTATGCTAATACGACGATAGAAAATGTGGTAGCTTAATTAAATTCCCCTCCGTTTTTGAAAACCAACGCGCGCCCTTCAAAAATTTGCTTCCAAAATATACTTGAAAAAAAAAAAAACGAAACTGTCAAAGTGTTGTCAACGCCGCATAGACGCTAGCTTGTCTGCGCTATCAAGCGCTAAATATTTGCATTGCAAAGTGAACCGTGGCTGACTTTTAATTTGGCGTTTTATGTAAATAAGCCAATGGCGATTTGCAGGCGAACTCACGCGCGCCGCTCAACGCTTTTTGTCACTTGAATTCAAAGTCACGTGCCCGCGGTTGTCAAAACGAGAAGGCCATAAAGTACTACATACAACAAATATAATGGCTGGAACAGCAGAATGAGGGCTAATAATGTAAACAAAAGATTTTGCGCTTTGGCTCTTTCGTATTCTTGCTCTCTCACTCTCTCCCTTGCGCCTGGCTGTCTAAAGCTTGATTTGCTGACAATGCGCAGAGCATAAAGCTCGCGATTTACATAGAAAAGCTTTCGGCGCGCTGCGCCCAACAGCTGTGGTCGCCATGCACACACCGACTGACAGAGCTGTCAGCTGCTGGGCCATGTGAAAGCTCTCAAGCGCCTCGTAGCCAGCCGATGTGTATGCGAAAAGCGCGCACGCTTCCCAGCAAAGCTCACGTGCCCAGTCGCCAGACAAGTCGTCGTCGCCGCTGACAAGCTGCTGGCTGTCAGTTGGTGTTCGGTGCGTGCGTGAA